GACAGTATAACTTGAGCCAGACTGTTTATCTTCACTGCAAATAAGGTGGCACTTAAGACTCCGCCTTGGGGGACACCATTTTCTTGTAAGAAGACATTGGATAAAGTCGAGCCTAATCGGACTTGAAAGGTATGCTCACTTAAAAAATTCTGCAAGCAACGAAGCATACGGCCACGCACTCCACAGTTGTATAGATCTCGAAGGATACCATACCTCCACGTAGTGTCATATGCCTTCTCTAGATCAAAAAACACCGACAAGCAATGCTGCCGATGTACAAAGACCTCACGTATGACGGTCTCAAGTCGAACCAGATGGTCCATGGTGGACCGTCCAGCACGAAAGCCACAGTGCTTAGTGTCAAAAAAGTTTTTCTCTTCCAAAAGGAACATAAGGCGGCGATTTATAAGCCTTTCATAGGTTTTCCCCAAGCAGCTTGTAAGTGCTATGGGGCGGTAGCTGGTAGCCAGAGAGGGATCTTTTCCAGGTTTCAGCAAAGGTATAACATGGGCACTTCTCCAAGAATGTGGGAAAGCAGCAGCTTCCCATAGGTAGTTGAAAAAGGACAACAGGTGGGACAAAGATTCATGAGACAGGTGCTTAAGCATCTCATAGTGAATTCTGTCTGGCCCAGGTGCAGATTGCTTTTTTAGGCTGAGAGCAACTTCCAGTTCACACATTGTGAACGGTCTATTGTATGCAGCAGAGTTGAAGCCTGACATAGTGATTTTCTGCTTCTCTGCGGTAGAGCGGTACTTTAAAAACTCCGTACTGTAATTGGAAGAGCTGCAGACATGCTGAAAATGTCCTGCGAGGAAGTCTGCTTGTCCTGTTAGAGATGCTGAAATTGAAGGAAAAAGTGGAATCCTGAAAGCGTGGTACTGCCCACGAACTTTTTTGAGACGATCCCATACTTCTTTAGCAGTAACAAAACTATTTAAGGATGAAACATACTTTGTCCATGAAGCCCACTTGGCCCGTCTTCGCGTCCACCGAGCTTGTGCTCTTTTTTTCCTAAACTCTATCAAATTACGGAAAGTTGGATAGCGACGAAAAGTTCCCCATGCCTTGTTCTGGCTTTTCCGAGTGGAAGTACATTCCTCATTCCACCAGGGCTTGCACCTCCGGGGAAGATTTCCTGAGGTCTGTGGAATTGAAGCAGAAGCAGCATTTATAATGCATTTTGTAACATAAAGCGTTGCATCCTCAGGAGTCATATGAAGAAACATGGAGGGATCAAGTGTAGCTTCTAGACCAAAAATAGACCAGTCGGCCTTTTCCAATTTCCATCGTGGAAGGCGGGTTGGTATCGATAAAACTGGTAAAACGCTCTCTAAAATTATGGGTAGATGGTCGCTTCCAAAAGGATTGTTTAAAACGTTCCATGAAAAGCATGAAAGTAAAGATGGTGATGATAGTGATAGGTCAATTGATGTAAAAGTGTTGTGGGCAGCACTAAAAAATGTTGGTTCTTTCTTATTGAGCAGGCAGATTCCAGTTGATAATAAAAGCCTTTCAATAACTCCACCTCGAGAGTCTTGACGAGAGCTTCCCCACAAAGGATGGTGGGCATTAAAATCACCAAGAATTAAAAACAGTTTGGGAAGTTGTTTGATGAGTGCTTGAAGTTCGTGAAGATGCAGCGGAACATTAGGTGGTAAGTAGAGTGATACTAGAGTGATAAGGCGGTCAAGAAGGATGCGAACTGCAACTGCCTCGAGTGAAGTTTGTAAAGGAACTTCAGCACATGCCACTCCACTTTGAACCACCACTGCTACACCACCCGAAGGGTTTGAGGAATGGCGGTCCTTCCTAAAAACTTGTTGATGACGCAAAACCTGCGTGTGCGAATCAGTCAAGTATGTCTCCTGTAGGCAAATAGCAACAGGACGGAGCTCATCAAAAAATGAATTGATGTCATCTATGTTACGTAGAAGGCCGCGACAGTTCCACTGCATAATGCCTATATGCTTAGCCAGTGCAAAAATGAATATAAAAACTGGTAAAAAAGTAAAATGAGGTGACTATGGCTTAAAATCTATTTTTTTGCGCGGGGCATTTTTCTTTTTTACAGCCTCTTTCTGCTGGCCAGTAGAGTCACTGGTGGCAGAAAGAGAGGAGTCAGATCCAGCGAGGAAACTTTCCTCGCCGGACTTGGGTCCACCCTCGTCCATAGGCTCTTCAGGGGGAGCCGGAGGAAGACCCGGTGGGGTTGGTAGCCTTAACGGCTCACTAGGTCTCTGCTGGGTCGAGACGCGGGGTTGTCCCCGGCCTCGAGGAGGCAGGGAGGTAGGGGCGGCGGGAGGTGCCGCCCCCTGCTTCAGGGTGGACGTTGAAGGAACAGCGTCCACCGTGTGGTTGGGGCGTAGTGCAGCTGGCACCGCTCCCGTGGGCTTTAGATGGGACACTGACGAGAGACACACTCCTTCTGGAGGAGTCTGTGTTCCCGCCGACGCCATCATAGGCCGTGCGGGTCCCCTGCGCACGACCTCGGCATATCCTCCTTTTGATAAAAAGGAAAAACGTTTTTTCGCCTCATGGTAGGAGATGTTTTCTCTGGTCTTCAGAGTCAATATTTCTTTTTCTTCTTTCCATTTCGGACAAGAGCGTGAGTAAGCTGGATGACGACCTTCACAGTTGACACATCTTGGATCATTCTCGCAACAGTCAGCGACATGCTCTTTACTGGAGCACTTCGCGCAAGTATCACTTCCTCGGCAGCTCCGTGACCCATGGCCGAACCTTTGGCACTTAAAGCACCGCTGAGGGTTCGGCACATAGGGGCGAACACGGCACTGGATGTAGCCTGCCTTTATGGTCTCTGGAAGTGTAGTGGCGTCAAAAGTCAGTATAACATGTCTTGTTTTTCGCTCCACGCCCTCACGACGAAGGGTGATGCGTCGAGCAGCTACTACTCCTTGGTCTGAAAGGCCTTCGACAAGTTCCTCGTCAGATGAGTCCATTAGGTCGTCCTCTGAAATAACTCCTTGCACTGTATTAAGTTTACGGTGTGGAGTAACATTTACTTTATAGTCAGACACAGCATTGAGAGAAAGAAGGGCCTCACCTTGCTTTTTGGTGTTGATCTCAACTAGAAGGTCACCGGACGCCATCTTTTTTGCAGAGTAATCCTTTCCAACGATTCCTTCCAGTACCTTGGCGACCAGGAAAGGGGACAGCTTAGAAAGTGGTTTTTCCTCTTCGGAATGCAAGACAAGAAATTTTGGAAATTTTTCAGGTACAATGGATGTTTCGAGAGTTACTTGAGCTTCGGTGCGACCTCTTTTCAGAGGCCGATCAAGAGAGTTTTTGTTGCGCAGACCCATATGAGATGGGAGGAAAATTCAGTGCCCGGGTGCACCGCCCACCACGGAGCCCAACAAGGGGGTAGGTAATGTGCCATAGCAAGAAGGGCTTGGCTGACACAATTACTCTACCAGTGCTGCCCGGGCACTATACCCTAGTGTGGTTGCAGGGACAGGACCTGTTTCCACTCAAGGTTGGCCCTTGCCGCCTAAGAAGGTGAAAAAGGAAGGAAGAGAGTGTAGAAGAAAAGAGAAAGAGGTGGAAGGAAAAGTGAAAGGAGGAAGAACAGGGTAGAAGAGGCGACTGACTGAATCATCCTGGTCGGGCCAAGCCAGGACACCCGTCTACGAGAAGCAGAGGTCGAAGCGGTGTATTGCCTCGCCCGGGGGGCCCCGAAGGGTCCAAACATACCCCGGGCTCAGCTCAACCACCAGGGTCTTCTTTTCCCCGGACACGGGTACGCCACGCACAGCCAGGCGTGGGTGGGTAAACCCACATGGCTCGGGGTTCGCGGTGGCGCCATTCACCAAGCACCTACCAAGGCAGGTGCCCCCTGCGTGCGGGTATTGTGGCCCGCGTGGCTGGGGTCCGTGGTGGCGCTACTCACCAAGCACCTAGCACCTAAGGTGCAGGTGCCCCCTGCGGAGCTCGGGGTCCATGGAGACGCCACCATATAACAAACTAATCATCTCTCAGAGAGAGGCAAGCAACGAAGAGTATACACGTCTGCAAGTACAGCCTCTGGGCGTCGCCATTTTTGCTAGCTGGAGAGAGTGGGTAGTAACATAATCTGATTACGATGCCTCGGTAAAGCGCCGTAATCGGATTATGGCGCGGCCCACGGCATAGCCCAGCTAGCAAGATGCGAGTACGCCCGGAGGCCCTACTTGCAATCGTGCTTATGTGGTACAATTAATCTGGAGAAGTCAGTGTTATTTTTTACCTTATAGGGGGCTGTTTGTCCAGTGCATCTAATCGTTAACCTGAGCTCTTTAAATGAATGCTGAACAGACATTTGGATTTCACAAAATAAAGCCGCAGAAGCGTTGAATGGGATGCTACAAACTTTAAAACGTCACTTGTACACCAATATCTCAAACGGATGGCCATCTTTTTGGGAAGGAAGGACGCGATCAAGCGAGGTCTCTGACGTCACAATCCTCCTGGAGCTGTTGAGATTGAGGGGAAGCGGCCTCGCCCTTCTCCTCGCTTTGCTAGCTCAGGGGAACGAAGCGAAGAGGAAAGGGAATGAGAATATAGTGACATCACATATCTCATCAGCTGTGTTCAGTCATGCCCTTCTTTTTCAGAAATACGGCCATCCGTAAGAGATACCACTGTAGGAGTGATGTGTATGGGAACTACAGCGACCTGCCTATCACTCCAGCCTTGTTTTGTGAGCTCCAAATTTAGTGCATCCAGTCATACTATAAAAGCGATTTCACTGCCCCTCCAGAGCCCAAGGGAAGGAGTATTGGTGAGCCACAGCTTGTGGAAGACGCTGCAGCACCAGACCGCCAGGAAGGCTCCCAATCATGTGCAACTGGTACTGAAGACATGGTAAGGACACCCTGCTTTTGAGGTTTGAACAGTGCCCTTAGGAACATGTGCTCAGGAACTGTCCTAACAACCCTGGCTAACTTGCTCAATCTCTTTAGAGTCCTCATTGATTTCTTGTTTCTGTGTAATTGACAATGTACGTTAATTTATAACAAAACCTTCAAACTTACAAGCCACGGTCTTGGCTCGTCGTAGTATCTGAACTTTGTTTAGTAATATTAATTTAATTTCTTTTTAAAGGTAGACCTTGGCAGAGGCGTCTTCATCAAGTCCTCTGCATGGAGAGAGGTCAGCAAGGCTGTGAAAAGTTCCCTTTTTCTAAAGGAACTGGCTGCGGCCCTCTATGGGCAAAAGGAGCTCATGGAGAGATCGGCCAAGGGTAAGGTGTAGCTTTAATTTTGTCAATGCTCAGTAATCTAGCCTTTACTACTAGATTCTTTTGTTGCTGTGAGACAGTCCGAGCTCAAGGGTTTGGCGGATGTTGCTATCTGGAACAGCTTGAATATTATACAGCTTTGCTTCATGTGCTCCATGGGATTCTCAAGTCCCATTGTTCTCTTGAAAACAGCACTCTTTTTTTTAAGCTTACATTTATTGGTATAGCCTTATGCCGAGAACCTAAAGGAAAACTTATTGAAGCATTATCATATATTCTAGGTTAGAAAATTACTACAAGCCGAGCTGGTTGTGTCATGTATTTGTTCTGCAGATGATTTTGTTTAAAAAAGTGCAGTTTGTCCTGTTATGGCTTTAAAACAATGCATTTAAAGCAATTTTACATGGATACTGGACAGGTGGCTTTAGTAAAATAAAATATGTGACATGATAGCTGGTGGCACGCAATAAACCTCAGGTGACGAAAGTGCACAGCAGAAGTTTTCGTAATGGAGATGTATTAAGTAAAAATAAGGGCATGAAGCACATCCCCATGGCTTGGTCATTCCAGATAGACGTTACCATGCATTCTGAGGGCACAGGAATTCAGCTCATTCGGTGCCTACATCTTGAGGAGTGTCAGTGGTACATTCAATTGGTGGTTGAAGATCTAAAGGAAAGCTTAGGCCTAAGAAGAACATTGAGTTTAGAACCTCATTTCATAGTTTTCCAACTCCTGATTTCAAATACTGTAAACATCTTATTTTTTGCGGGCTCAATATTTCGCAATTTAGGTCAAAGCTAAATTTTTGGAATAATTCACAGGTTTTAATTTTTGCGACTTAGTAAGATTTCAATATAGGTTCCAATGTTTTTACATTTGACCGGAATTGTTTGCAAAACCTATTTTTCGCGAAAACTGGGTCCTTGCAAATGTTAAGTCGTTTATAGTATTGCACTGAGATGGGGCAGATATAAACATAACCAGCTGTTATTTCTCTAGAAATGGGCAGAAATGACGTAGGGGCAAGCATTCTCCAACATCACTGACAATATCACATTAGCTAGTTTTTCTGTTGTCCTTTCCTGTGCTTGGCACCAGTGGCAGTCAGTACGTCGAACGACGTTTTATCAACAAATCTTTCCGTTGACACTGCAATGTTTGATAAACAATTTGTATCGTCGAAACGATTTCGTGTTCCGTCGGCATGGCTTGCCACGTTTCATTGACAGCTTGTTTTTTTCATTATTAGCAGTGCCTAACGACCTCGGCAATGGATGCAAGCTGTCTGTGCGCCTCTAGATATAGGCCTCATGGCTATTTTGTAGCCTAGATTGCCGAAAATCTTGGCGGCGCACGCTGGAGCTTGATATTATATTAATTTTTCCCAAGTAATAGCAAGGGGTGACTGCGCTTAGCGCAGCCTGTTTGAAGCATAGCTTGCCACAGCCTGCAAACAGCATTTCTCTAAACCTCCAGCGAGATAAATGAATCCAAGAATAAAATCCATATAATGAATAATATTTTGTCGTCAAAACGTTGCAGTTTACAAAACAAGTTTCTATGAAACATAACAGTGTCGACAAAACGTGTTTTGTTGAAACATTGTCCATGAAACATTTCAACAAATGCGCGTTGATGAAACAATAGACCCACTTGGCAGACTGAGAATTCAGAGCTCTGGTACAACTTTAAGATCCATGCACATAATCGTCAATTACTCATAAAAAAAAAACTCCATATTCGGAAATTTGAAGTGCTCTGGATCCAAACAGTATCCTGGAAGTCACAACTGCTTCAGCTTTTCTTTCAGCTTGCATGGTCGATGAGCATAAATTCTCTTGCGCATTAACTTTTTCTTAATTTATATTGTTTGAAGGCAAGCACTCACCCAGATTTCCGAATGAACCGAGGAAAAAGCCAATCTCTCCCGTGAAGCTTATGGTCATGCAAGGTAAGTGGCTGATATAATCATTGGTCACCCATGTTGTTTCATATTTTATGGTACATGAAAGCACAAATGTAGTCCATAATTTTGAAAAATGTTGGCACATTTGTATTTATATGTTAATGTTGTTAATTTTAAATAGTGAGTCAGTGATCGCCAGCCATACTTAAACAATTTAGCCTCATGCGTGTGTACCACTCGCTAAAGGTAAATTGCATAGTGTAATTTCATGCTGTTCTTCCTTCTCATTCATTATATCCTTATATGGTCCAAGGCTCGTAGTAAAAATAGAAATTGCTTTCTAAGTGGCTAACGATCGACGCATTGTATGCGACTGTCATTTGCCCTAGACTGCTACAAAAAGCGCCTCCAGGATATGGGCATGCCGGAGAACCTCGCGGCTGAAGCCTCGGGCAAAGACGTGACAGGTCTCATCAATGAGAAAATCGGGGACCTCAGGAAGCAGGCAAAGAGGTATTAAATAATATAGTAGTTTTTGTTTATCTAACATGATCAAGCAATTCTAAGTTTGCATGCATTTATAATTGCTTACTACGGCCTTGATTACTTTAGGGCAGAAGCTGCTGCTGCAGCCGCTGCAGCTAAGGCTAAGGAAGCAGCTCCCGTGGAAGCAGACTGAGGGCGGAAAAAAGGTAGGAATAAATCAAATGTTTCCTCCAAATTTCTCTGAAAATTATGTTCCAACATATCGTAAAATACCGTGGAAGCATCTACTTCGTTCAAGTGCCCCACTATTAACATTTCCCAAACTTAGGAATTATGCAAATTATACGTTAAGCACCCGGTTTGACTGGACAAGCACCCATGTCTAGCTTAACCGTTTTTACTGGAAGAGGGGTGGGCACTCCCCCAATATTTTATGGTAGTTCTTGGCTTGATGAGTTATTGTAATCTTATTTATTCCAGAAAAAGAAGTTCACACCGAGAAAGGACTGCACTCTATATAAATAAACAGTCACTAACCTTGCCTTTTGGTGCTGTTTTAATAGGTTTCTCTTTGGTCCTTCCTTTTATGTTCCAAATAGAGTAAACCAACGAAGTCCAATTAGTAGTTCCAAACAGCTCCAATGGGATTCTACGATCGTGCAGTAGAGTAATTTCTTGGTGAAGGGACCATAATGATTTGATTTTGGAAAGGTAGTGAGAACTAACTGCAAAGCCACTAACACCATCTGGCTCTCCGGCATTACCTAATTAGAACTAAACAGCCCATCGTGGTTTCCTAATGGGGTTCTAATGGGAACTCATTGCCTCCATAATGGGAACCAATTGACCCTGTCCAGTTGGAACCAATTGGCACACCAGCTGGACCTAATTGGCATGCCAGTTGGAGCCAATTGGTCCTGTAATGGGCACCAATTGGGTTTTTGGACACCAGCCAGTTGGTTCCAATTGGTGTGCCAGCTGGAACCGATTGGCACTCCAACTGGAACCAATTGGCACTCCAACTGGAACCGATTGGCACTCCAACTGGAACCAATTGGTACTCCAACTGGATCCAATTGGAACCAACTGGCCAGTGTCCAAAAACCTAATTGGTGCCCATTACAGGACCAATGGGTCCTATAATGGTACCCATTACAAGACCAATGGGTCCAATTGGAAAATTTCCAATTGGAACCTAATGGGAATTTTCGACTGGGTGAAGAATCATCACCAGCTCAGCAAGACACTACACTGCCAGCGCAGCTTGACATTGACCCCAAGCTTCCAGGCCCGAAACAATGGCGGCCGAGTGACCTCATCGCTGAATACAGCGACTGCTTTGCGACGTCATCGAAGGTGCGCCAAACCACCGTTGCAAAGCATCGCATCGCACCCGAGGACGACGTGCTCCCTGTGCAACGATCGCCGTCCCGAGTATCCATAAAAGAACGGGAGGTCATTCAACACCAAGTGGAAGAAATGCTGAACGACCACATAATCAAACCTTCAAGTAGTCCGTGGCCCTCTCCAGTCGTGCTGGTAAGGAAGAAGGACGGAACACTTAGGTTCTGCGTTGACTACCGGCACCTGAACGCGGTGACGAAGAAAGACGTCTACTCACTTCCCCGCGTCGACGACACTCTAGACCGGCTGCGCCACTTTCGATATTTCTCATCGATGGACCTAAAGCGCGGCTACTGGCAGATAGAAGTCGATGAACAGGACTGTGAGAAGGCAGCTTTCGTCACGCCGGATGGCCTGTACAAGTTCAAGGTGATGCCTTTCGGCCTATGCACGGCGCCGGCAACATTCCAGCGTGTCATGGACACAGTGCTGGCAGGGCTGAAGTGGCAGAGCTGTCTCGTTTACCTTGACGACGTCGTAGTGTTTTCAAGTGACTTCGACAAGCACTTGAGAAGACTCCGAGCTGTTCTTCAAGCCATTCAGACCGCCGGACTTGCACTCAAGCCGTCAAAGTGCCGGTTCGCCTATGACGAACTGAAGTTCCTAGGCCACGTGGTTAGTAATGAAGGCGTCCGCCCAGACCCCGAGAAGACTCTCGCCGTCGCGGCATTTCCAGCGCCGACAGACAAGAAGGCCATGCGAAGATTCCTTAAACTTTGTGCCTATCATCGACGCTTTGTTCGGGATCTCGCAAGGATTTCCGCACCACTTACAAACCTCACGAAGGACGTCGAGAAGTTCGAATGGGTCGAGGAGCAGCAGCAGGCATTCGACGAGCTGAAACGACGACTCCAAACTCCTCCTGTGCTTGGACATTTCGATCAGGATGCAGAAACCGAAATTCACAGAGACGCTAGTAATGCAGGACTTGGAGCGGTACTAGTTCAAGTGCAAGAGGGCACCGAGCGAGTTATCGCCTACGTAAGTCGGACGCTGTCCAAATCGGAGACAAATTACTCCACGACTGAGAAAGAATGCCTTGCGGTCATCTGGGCAATCACGAAGTTTCGTCCGTACTTGTACGAGAGCCCGTTCCATGTAGTCACGGACCACCACTCGCTCTGCTGGCTTGCGAACCTGAAGGACCCGTCAGGACGCCTCGCTCGATGGAGTCTCAGACAACAAGAGTTCAACATGACAGTGGTCTACAAGTCAGAATGCAAGCACAGCGACGCCGAATGCCTCTCCAGAGGCCCCGTCGAAACTCTTCCGGCTGCAGCGACGACAATGACGACGAGTGCTTCCTAGGAGCAGTGAACACCAACGACATGACACGACTTTATCGGGACGATCCTGAGCTGCACGCATTAATCGAGCATCTGGAAGGGGGCGGGAGTACCGTGCCACGTGGGTCATTCCACGCCAAACGATCCAGCCCCTAAATCGACCATCACGGATTTGGTTTTAAAAATTTGTAGGCACTTAAATTGACGTAAAAGTAATCTTCCCAGTATATTTTTGCAGTAATTCTTTCTTTTCCTCCTTCGGCAACCTCTTGATTACCCCGAAGAAATGGCTTCAAGGGCTATATACGGCATTTTTTTTTCCTGGCACTTTTGAAAGTAGGTTGTAAAATAACACTGTTTTAAGTAACTAAATAGGTCCCTCTAAATGCCCAAATAGTTACTTGCATGTAATTTCAACCTTTTCTTGCAATTCCGGGGCACTAAAAATAGCCTAAGATGCCGATATTCACCATTTTTTTCCTCGGAAAAGGGCGAAATTCTCAGGCATAAATTTTACTTGTATTAATAGCACTTAGATTAAAGTTCATTATAAAATTATTTTTCGTATAATATTTGTTGCAGTGTTTTGACGAAAAGATCATCAATCTTGAAAATAGCGCAAAAAGAGCAACTTTCACTTAAGAATAACGGTGTGAGGTGGTCGGTCTAAAGATACATTGTCAACAGCAATGCGTCATTTAGAACCCAGACATCAAATAAGCAATGTTAGAAAAAAGTGTTATTTCTTAAACGCGAAAAAATAATTTTTCAATGTCGGTCGCCGCACCGTCGCGTGCCTGTCCAGAGACGTCGAACAGCGGCGTACTGCAGCGGCGACGTTGCCGGGCAACAGAGCAGACGGGTTCGCTACGCGAGCGGGCAAAGCCGACGGGTTCGGTACGCCAGCGCAAAGCAGACGGGTTCGCTACGCAAGCCCGCAAAGCAGACGAGTTCGCTACGCAAGCGCGCAAAGCAGACGGGTTCGCTACGCGAGCGCGCAAAGCTGACGCAAACCAGACGGGTTCGCTACGCAAGCGCGCAAAGCAGACGGGTTCGCTACGCAAGCGCGCAAAGGAGATGGGTTCGGGTTCGCTACGCGAGCGCGCAAAGCAGACGGGTTCGCTAAATAGGCGCACAAAGCAGACCGTAGAGTTTAAAAAGTGGTTTTGACATCGTCTGCTAATTGCCCAGCGGCACGCGTTCACATGTAATTGGAGTAAATTGAACAAACCTTTTCCATGGAACCTAATAACGCCGGTAATCTGGCTTCCACGGTTCATGCCAGGGAATCTGAAGGTGAGTTTTAGGCAATATTTTTTACTAGTTATTGCCTTTAAGCATTCTGAGCACTGAGCAAACAATGCATCGTTTTTCGGAAGACCATCTTGTGCCGTGTTCATTGGGGCCAAGAGGGTGCCATAAAACGACGCAAGTCAACAGGAAGTTTCTCGTTAGAATTTCAACTGTGACAGAAAGAGAACAACGCCTTTTGGCTCTGCGTGCAAACAAAGACGAAGACGCGCTCAACACAATATGCGCTCATCATTATCATACTTACGTAAAGAAGTATACCACGCTCCTGGCTTCCAAGTTCTGTATGGACCCGTTCCTTGAACACACCAGGAGCCGGCGTGGGACATCAGTTATATCACTAGAGCTTGCGATAGCTCTACCGTCATTGAAGCTTGTTCCTGGAGAAAGGTTGTGCCCCGGGTGCAAAGTTCGCTGCTTCCAAATTGGCGTGAGGTTCAAGCAGACTACTGACACGCTTACTGAAGGGATGACCTCCTCTGAAATTAGCGACAAGGAAAAAGCATTCCCCTCATGGTTGAGTCTCAAATTTTCAGCAGTTGGGGAAATTCCCCTATTCATGGGGCAGAAATGCGAACAAACAAATACGGATATACAAACGACGCTGGACAGTCGAAGCCGGAATGTCTGTAACCTGACCAACACTGTGGACGTTAACGTCTCATCGACATCTAGACCAAGACCTAGTTATGAGTTCCGGACAGACGACTACAGACAACTCATGGAAGACGTCAAGAAGCGCTTTGGCGAAGAAAAAGACCGAACAAAGAAGATTTCGCTTTTGACCCTGGCCCCGAGCTCGTGGTCGCGAAAACGGATCGCGCAGTATTTTGGTGCCTCTGAAAGACAGGTTCGCCTTGCCATGTCAATGAAAAAAGAGAAGGGCATCTTGAGTTGCTCAACCAAAAGGGTGAACAGACCACTAGACGAATCCACTAAAAGCTCTGTCAGAAACTTTTATGAAGACAAACTTGTTTCCATCTGCCTTCCAGGCAAAAAAGACGTCGTTCGTGGGAGCCAAAAACGATTGCTTTTAATGAACCTGAAGAAAGCATATGAGGAATGGAAGAAGAGCAACATCGGAGTGAAATGCGGATTCTCAAAGTTCGCTGCTTTACGGCCCAAGCACTGTCTGCTTGCTGGAGCTTCAGGAACGCACTCAGTCTGCGTTTGCCTTTATCACCAGAACCTG